CTTGCATTCTTTAAGATCTTGCAAGAAACTCCATGGTGCAATAGCAAATTTTCAGATTGGAGACAAAGTTGTCATTGAGGACAAATGCAAGGGCCTTGTGTGTTGGCATTGGATCAATGGGAAGATTCCTGGATTACATCAAGGAGTAGGTGGAAGAGTCAGGAGTCTCACAGTCAAAACTGACACTGGAGATTGGTTCCTGGGCTTGAATAAAATCTATATTGTCAAACTGCGCAATTCATAGTTTAAAAGAGTTCAGCATAGCTTCTCTCTTTTTGGGGGGAGGGGAGTGTTGTTGCATTGCATGTTTCTTTTCTTCTGCTTAAAATATTTAAAGAAGAATTCTGTTGAGAAAAATCTTGGTCATTAGACTAGAAAATTAATGCCAGAAAAATTCAATTATGATGTCTAATCATGCTAGGGTGTTGCATGCATCAAAAGGGTGGGAAATCATGCATGTTGATTTTTGGGAAGCATTAGTTTAGTTTTAATCAAACCCAAAAATCAAGCCAGAAATTGGAGCTCTCATAGCTCCTGAAGTTAGGCTCTTGGTGATGTCACAGCTGTGCTGATGACATTAGAGACTCCGCCCCTTTCTCTGGTGGAAGCTGAGCATCTAGTACNAATTTTGATCTGGGAAAATAAAAGTTTGAACCATTTACAACTTCTTAAAACAGTCAAGCCTGTACAAATTTTCTGAAGCTTAAAAAACAATTTAAAGCTCACAAATTCTTGTGAGTTCTCCAAGTTTAAATTTGTGAAAGTAACAGGACCCGACTTTGTGCTAGCACTGATGGTCAGGAAATTAGAGAAGCTGAAAATCCGACCCGCAAATAGCGGGGAAAATGGTGAAAGCAACTCAGCAAAGGTGGCAGTACTGGATGAAACTAAGTAATTATTTATTCTGCTAATCAGCTTGAAGGCCCAATACTGATTCTTCTGATGAAATGATCAAAATGTGAACAGATGTCGTAAGGCAGGACGAAGTTTTCACACGTTCTTGTTAATTGAAACGCTTCTGATCATTAAATTAATTCAAACAATCATATCTTTGAAAACCTAATCAAAGTAAGCAGTCACAAGTGATGAAAATCCGGTTTCACGCTCAGATAAATTTCACGTTATCGCTTCAGAAAGCATGGCAAGGCTCATGGCTCGGAGCGTCAAGCTGAAGCTTTGACACGGTTCGAAATCCTGCCAAAATTTTAGCTTCTGCACTCAAGGAAATAGAAATCAAATTTCCCGGCAAGCATAATGCCTTGCGCACTCTTATCGAATTTCAAAGAATATAATGAGAATGACAAACCAGAAGCCCTGTTTTTCCCTATGACGCAGTCGATGGTGAAGAGGCGCTCATGAGGAAGACCATCTTCTTTGGCCAATTTGTAAATCGGAGGCGGAAGTCGGTTAGCCATGCAAAACTCTTGCAGCCAACCCACAGGGTTGCCTGGGATGCCATCTTCATACGGTAACTGCAGCTTCGGGTTTCTGCAAAGAATTACAGCATTTATTCAAGTTCCAAGACCGTAAAGTCTTAGGATTGGTTGCGCTAAGGGCTGTAAATCAACGAGAAGAATATTTAATTCTTCAACACGCGAGTTCTTTGACCTCATGACAACCGGCATCGAAACAGACACTAAACCAGTACAGACCAACTCAGATATGACCAAGGGCCACATTAATACATTTATGGCCAAGGACCACATGGCTTTGATGGAGAGTCCTTGCGGGCCACAATGGACAATAATTCTCAAGATTTTGAAACTTCTCCATTTAGAAGTTCAATTTTCGAATTTATTTCAGTAATGCATTGAATCACTAGCATAGCCATTTACAGGACTATTTTTGAAGCGCGAGGCAACATAGTGAATTTTAAAATTTATCTTTCGATACACATTTTGAATAATGGCAGCTGCCACTTTGAAAATTTTAGGGGACGGGATTGCGGAATGGATGAAGAGTCTTCGAGAGCCGGATATGGCCCACGGGCCGAATGTTGGGCAGCAGTTCATTGAAAGTTCAAGAATGCAGCAACTCACACTTCTCCTGATTCTTCAACCTCTCCATTTTTCATTAGCTGCGAGCTTCCTATTAGCTTGTCAAGCACAGCTTTTGCAGCAGCATGTTTCGCTTTCTTTTTGCTCTGCCCAGTTCCATGCTCTATGGAACAAAACAAAAACAAGAAATCAAACTCGAATATTTATAAAAAAGAATCAAGCGATGACTCACCAACATGGTCACTGACAGTAACCCTATACTTGAAAGTAGGCTCATGCACAGATCCCTCAATCTGAACCAGATCATACTTCGGAGTAATTTGTCTCTTGACACAAAGTTCCTGTAGGATTGACACAGGAGTTTTCGTCGGCATGCCAGGGATCAGATCCTGCAAAAGACCTCAAGGGTCAGCATAAAACCCTCACATGACCCAGATCGTTTCAACCACCTCTTCTCTAGCTCCCTCCGCATTCTGACTTTTCGTGAAGCCCAGCGCAGGCCTGTTTCCTACAGGTGGTATCAGATCCATCAGCCCGCCTACAAATTGCGCATTCGTATGCTCTTTCGGTCTGGTTCCGAACATTCCACTGGCCATAATCCAGTGTTCCGGCCGTCTCGAACACCTCACCTGCACATTCCGAACTCGTTCAAGACAACCAAGAACAAATACAGTGGTTTTTTGCTTCACGAACGCCTCGCGTAATGAAATTTATTGCCTTCATTCAACGAACATTTGAAAAGAATTGTAAAAAAAAAACTCGAAAAACTTTCGCTTCTGCTCTTCTCGTGTTTGCTGCAATGTGGAGTATTGTAGATACAGTGCAATAATTTACCTTCCTCAGACAACAGAATCAAAAAACTCGGGAAAACGGCCTGATTATGGTACCTATATAACAGAAAAAAGACGAAGACTTCCATTATTAATTTTAGAAGGGGTCAGTAATGTTTTGAGAGAATACTACTACTATCAACAATGAGAGGCTATATTTTCTTTTTCTGAAATCGGGCACCGTTTTCTCCACAACGATTTCAAAGTTTTTTTTTGTGTGGAAAAAGTCAATGATTCAAACGTGAAAGCCTACGGGAAGATGTGTTTCGCGGGACGAACGCTTCGCCTAATGAACTCGGCGAAGAAAGGAATTACGTTCCTTAAGCGAGGCACCACTACAAATATATAACACTACAAACTATTGCATCTGTTGAAACAAAGGTAATTATCATTTCTTACATGGCTAAGAACTGATATAACCCAGTAATCTGCCTTGACGAGGGCTTTTCATGGTGAGGCTTCCTTCCAAACAATATTATGAAAGATTCCTTTCGTAATGCTACAGAGTAATGTGTTACGGTTTCCACGCATCTCTCTCCTCTCTTTCCTGGTAAACTTGTTTAGAAGATTTTCTAGCTATTTTCAATTATGCAATCGGAATAGATTCTCACCAACCTCGATTTATCGTTCCACTCAAGAGCCACGTTGGGCCGACATCCCGTAACGATTGACTCGCGCACCAGTACGGGATTCTCACTTTCCTGCCACAAAAA